CATTTTATTTAGGCTCATCGTTAACGTTTTAGCATTACGTAAAGCTTACATTGGTGTGATATGCATTCTTAAGATTGCATCTAGATTTCAATCTTCTTAATGTTAGAAGATTAGAATTCTTCTTGGTGTGAATATATTACAAATATTTAAATCTTATTTGCTATCATTAAAATTTATTTTTAATTCTTGAAACATAAAGTTGAAACCTATCAACAAAGAAAAGTGGTGGTTGTATCTGATTTAGGAGTTATCGGTTTAAAACTCGCTACAGGGGTCTTAAGAAAGTTTAATGGAGAGAAGTCTTGCATATAAGATGTAAAAAAAAAAAAAAAAAGAGCAAATACCAAAATATATATTCATAGCGAAAGAAAGAAAAAGGGATTTAAATTATCAAAGTGAGATGTGCCCGATAAAGACTTTGAGATTTGAACTCTAGAGACTGACGGTGTGATTTTGAGAAATTCTTACCTTCGCTTTTCTAAGTTTACAAGTATCTAATTATGACCACTTTGTGTGGAAAAATACATTTTAATGATTATTAGGAACCCACATGTGCGAATAATAACTCGGGATTGGAGAGAAGAACATAAGAAGTGATTTTGCATGAGAGGTGTGAGAAAAAATTGACCACACGAGGATGGGGATTATGATTAAATCAACAACACTTAATTGGTTGTGTTCTAGTATGAGTGTTAGTTCAATATTGGCTAATCACACACACACTAAGTCGAGTATCGGACAAGTAAAAATTTATTTTTGATATTGTTTGGATTTTTCTAAAGTATTGTTTAAATTTGAAGTTGAGACATATGGTACGCCGTTTAACATTGAATTTATTATTGGAAATTTGTTTAGTTTAGTGATATGGGTTACTCCTAAATTTTGTTTTGTTTTGCTTTGTTCAAGGACGAACAAATGTTTTAGTTTGGGGTGTTTGATAAATGTATTTTTTGTGCACTTATTCGGGCCATATTACTAGGATTTTGTGTCGTTTTAATAGAATTTTATTTAATTTAGATTAATTTTATCTTATTTCAATTTTGGACTCGTTTTTAAGTAATTGGAAAAGAAAGAAGGATTAGTTCGCCAATGGATGGAAGTTTGGGACTAATATACATTTGAGTAAAAGTTGAAGTACTGAAATCGAAGTAATTTAATGTGGAGGACTAAGATAGAAGAAAGAATGAAGATAATGGCTGAAAGAAAAATTCGGGAAGTTTTTATAACTGGGCAACCATCTAGTTATATAGGTCGGGCGGCCACCCGACCCTTAATCTTAATTATAGGGGTTGCTTAGTATGCCTGGGAAGCTACCCCGTTTATTAATGGGCACCTGCCCAGGCCTATTCGGCTAGAAAATTCTATTTTCTTCATAATTCAATTTCACCAAGGAAACTATCATTTGGGCCATGATATGCATGATTTTTGGATATCTTTTGGGACTCTTTAGAGAGATTATAAATACCAACTCTCAAAATATAATTAGAGTGTAGAGAATGAATTAGGG